ATTGGATTTGAGTTCCCAAGCACTTGGGTTTGCGCTTTTGGTGTACGCTCGCGTATGCCAAGGTTTGCAGCTGGTTGACTTATAATATGGATGATGGATTTGTCACATCCCAATTTATTCATCCATTCATATCAGCGGTTATGTCCACTGCTAAACATAGACCTCTCCGTGGGAGATTTTGTCAGTAGTATTTTGGCTGGCGGATTGGCAACCGCAGTTAGGCTTTGGTGGTTTTTTAAGGGAGACACTGCTGCCTATCCCTCAACAATTAAATTCTCTTAATCACCTCTTACGATAGTTACGGGAAAGGAATTGGCTCATTCTATGCCGGGACCACACGGCACAATCACGACGTATACAAGTCGATATATCGTCATAGTCGTAGAATACTGACGGATCTTTATATGTAATCTTTGTCAGAACCGTCAGTATTCTACGACTATGACGATATATCATGTCTAAGTACGTACTAAAGTAACACGAGACTTTCCATCTTTCCATAATGGACAATAACTTGTACTGTAATTTAGTCTGTCCTCTATATTAAAAGCATTGATTACGAGTACTTGGAAAACAAATACAACACACACACAAAGCCATGCAAAAACATAATAAACAATTAAGCATTTGATTTGTGTCTCAATTACGACAACGTCAGTGCAGTCTATCACTGTGCTATTAGCAGTCATGGCATACAACTCTTACGTGGATAGATATGGTGCTACACTATGGGCTGGAACCATGATCTTGGCAGTGACTCCGGCCTTCGACCACAATGGCTCGATTCAATTGGATGTAACTCGATTTTATGTCTATTTAATGGTAATCGAACGACAATACCTGCCGCTCCTCCTTTTGAAGCGCATGTATAAAATACGTGAATGCGTTGAGGTTTAGTATTAAAAACCACTAATGGTTTCCGTAGCCACTGATTTTATGGGCTCTATAGTTATGTAATTTAAAAAATTCCTGCTTTATATTAATTTTTAAAATAATCATCCTTTCTTCTTCTTCTTATTAATATGATAGAATTGTAACCAAACGGTGTCTATATACCGAGAGATGTTTATAAAAAAAAAAGCAATATGAGGAATCTTAATAAAAACTACGTGGACTAGTTACATAGCTCAAAGAACCGACAACCGATGGGGAAGAAAGGTTCTTGAGTGGTGACCGCGTACGGGCAAACGCAGTCTAGGACGACCCCCCTCTACATAGAGTGACGACCTGAAATGCATTGCAACAACCTTTCTATCAGACAACGGTTCACCTGATATAAAAGTTTTACGTATTACTAATTGTAGAGTTTTATAAAATTTCATTACGACTGACAAGTGCTTATATAGCAACAGCAAAATTTGTTACTCAGCTCAAATTAAATTCCTAAATGAGCGAAACACGCTTATAAATAAATTTACTTGTATAAAAATATTTTTTATTTTAAACTGACTTTAAAAAAAGAGGTTTTCAATTCGGTTGTATTATTTTATGTTTGTCCTAACTCCGTCAGGTATAAACCGATTTGGAAAATTCTTTTTTTACCTGAAAGAATATACTTACTTTTTGATCTTTAATTGAAATTTTATCAAAATCGGTTCAATAGTTTACTTCTAAAATCAAAATAATTAAATAAATTTTGTCAGAATTGAAATTGTTTTGTGAAACACAATCTTAAATTATGTTTTATTCAGATATAAATACGAGGTCTGTCCGGAAAGTTCGTATAAAAGTGTTCTGGAATGCGAGAAAGAGGAGTGGGGAGGCCAGGTAAGCGCAGGACCCCTTCCTTATGTCCCTAACAATGCTTCAGTTCTGGTCTGACCGCCGTGCGGTGCGAAATCACGCCATCTGTGAAGTTACCTCTTAACGAAACCCCGTCGGCATGGAGCCCGCTTCCGTTGAAGAGCCGCGCGTCGTAATCAAGTTTCTCTCGAAACTCGGCAAGAATGGCCGTGAAATTTTTGCCGATCTCAGAACAGTTTATGGGGATGATGCTGTGAAGGAACCAACCGTCCACAAGTGGCTAAAAAGATTCAGAGAGGGCCGAGACAATGTTGATTGTTTTTTTCGATGTTCGGGGGATTGTCCATCAAGAATTCCCTCCAGGCCAGACAGTTGATGGAAAATTCTACGTCGATGTGCTCAGACGCCTCAAAGCTCGTGTGGCACGAGTTCGTCCAGAATTGGCGCGAGAGGGGCGTTGGATTCTTCACCACGACAATGCCCCTGCCCACACCTCTCTTGTTGTCCGTGAGTTTTTGAGTAAAAATTCCATTACGGTGACCGAACACCCCCCCTATTCGCCGGATTTGGCCCCGTGTGACTTCTTCTTGTTCCCAAAAACCAAATTGGTACTTCGGGGGCGGCATTTGGGGGACATAAATGAGATAAAAAAAGCTACGACGGGGCAGCTGAGAAACCTACAACCAGAGGACTTTCAAGGAGCCTTCTCACAGTGGAAACGGCGTTGGCACAAGTGCATTATGTCACAGGGGGAGTACTTTGAAGGGGATAAAATTGATTTACCTGAATAATTGTAAAATAAAATTTTTAAAAAACTTTTATACGTACTTTCCGGACAAACCTCGTAAAATCAATGATTTACTGAACTTTAGTCCCCAAGTCTGGCTTAGTTTGGGGACTAGTAGTAATGCAGCCTTTTTTCTCTTTCAATATCAATTTTATTGTACATTTTTATTTTTGTGGTGCATATATATATATATATATATATATATATATATATATATATATATATATATATATATATATATATATATATTAATTCAAAAAGAAATCTAATTATTATTAGTGATTATTTCTTGTAATTGTATATATTTATAATAAGTTTACTATTGTTATCCTTTGGAGAAAACAATAAAGAGTATCTATCTATCTAATCTCATCGAAATATACAAATATTAGGACAAATCGAATTACATGATTTAAAATAATGATGACCACGCACAGAGTACGACATTTTTTCAATAGCACGTGTTTAAAAAACAACAATCAGCTGTTTTTGCTACGTAACGAAGTGATCTGTTTTATTAGAGCGACACCGTATAATTGGTAGCAAAAACAATCTAATCTGTGTTGAATCGCGCGTAAAATTGACCCCTGTAAAAACTCGCTAAGTACACAATTACAGTAATTAATGCCCTATATTTCATTTTTTTATCGCTCATTCAAATTTTTCAATTTTTTTTTCCAAATTCTAATTCAAATCATCTTTATTCAAATAATCTTCTTTACATGTACTATAAAATCTTATTTTTTTTCAATTTACTGCAAGGTTCGAAAGGTTGTTATCTGTTGAGAAGAGCCCGCAAGAAACTCAACAGTTACTCTTATGTGTATATATTATGTGTATTTATTTAAATGTACTATGTCTAAAATTACATGGTCAGGAAAAGCCCGTGCATGATCGACATTTTTTTGTTTATTATTTTTTTTATTGGGGGAGCACCAGTGAAGGGTGATAGATGAGAATGAAAACAGGCCATCATGATGAATTCATCAGGAATTAACCATGATAGTTTCCAGGGGGAACCGCGAGGAGGTCGACCTGGTTGGGTATATTACTAGCAATGGGATTCTCAGTCTCCATTACTAACAATTCCTTTCCCCCCAATATCTATATATTGTAACTGCTATATATTACCTACCTCTATTATTTAGTAATATTACGCTATTAAATTAATTTATTATGGTACCTTTAATGATGGTTTACATTGTACTTGTAAACTAGATATTAGTTTAAACATTCTCGTCAATTCTAATAATAAAAACTCCACTCACGAACAATACACGGCGATAAATGTTTCAGTAGATATTAGCACAATGTTTACTGAAGTCGCTATTGAAACTTGGGTTACGAGTACAATTAACTCTGACGCAGTTAAGAGGTATTATTATTATATCGTTAACTGTCCACAGCTGAGCAAGCCTTCTCGTAAAGGGCATTTGGCAATAGTTGTCACGCTAGTGAGTAGGTTGGCAACTGCTGTTAGGCTTTGATGATTTGTTTTAAGAGGAACGCAGCCGCCTAGATCTGGACCGTTAAATTCCCTTAGTCGCTTCTTACAATACCGACGGAAAAGGAAGGCATGGCCCACTCTATACCGGGGCCACATGGCAAGTAGATTTTATGAAGGAGGTTTTCTCTGAAAATTATACATACATACATATCTGCACGCCCGTCTCCAATTACGGTAGGCAGAAATAATGGAACACCAAATGTTTCAATTCAAACAGGCATCTTTCGTTTTCTCTACATTCATCAATCTTTTCATACACGCTAGACGATTACGGGTACTTTTAATTTGGACTTTCTTCAGCACATCGCCTAAATGCTTTTAGTAATTGTTAAAAAAGAGTCTTAAAGATTTTTTTTTTAATTATACGTACATATTTATTATCATGTTGCAGGGAGTCAGTGGATGCAGGTGGCTCAGGACCGTTTTTTATGGCAGTCTATGGGGGAAGCTTATGTTCAGCAGTGGACGTATAATGGCTGAAATGATGATGATGATGATTTATTATCTAAGTCCTTAATCTATATTGCTACTAACTTTTTTTTAAACCGAACAGTTACTTAATTCATTTTAAAGGTAGTAGAGATCACTACTAACAATAATGCTCTTTATTGTTTTCTCCTAAGCTCCATCTTTATTTTTTTTTTTATAAAAATTAAATTTATTCATTATCAATTCGATTAATATAATCATTATCATTTCAGCCATTAACTGCCCACTGCTGAACATAAGTCTTCCTCATAACGGACGTTTTGCCAATTGCTGTCACGCTTGACAAGGCGGATTGGCAACCGCAGTTAGACTTTTAGAGATGTTTTAAGAGAGACGCTGCTACGCATCTCTCTACCATTAAGTTCCCTTAATCGTCTCTTATGACACCCACAGGAAAGGAAAGGGTGGTCTATTCTGTGCTGGGACCACATAGACACGATTGTATTACAAGTCTATCATTTTTTTTACTTTCAGATCTTTTGTACGAGAATTATGTCCCGAATGATCCAGAAAAGCAGACCAGTATATTGAACAAGCTGTCGGTGTATTGCGGGAAACCTATGTACAACTCGACAGCAGAAGAAGACGAGACTCCGTTGAAATGGGACTTTTACCATTCGTTCTTTTTCTCGTACACTGTCGTCAGTACAATTGGTAAGATTTATATATTTAATCATTATTCATGGTCATTACAACCCATGTAATCGTTGTTAGAAACAACGATTATATAGAAAATAAACATGCTTGGTGTTAGTTAAGTATTCATTTCTTAAATATTTAATTGCCATATTGTTTTTGGTATGATACATGTAAATAAACATAATATTAAAATATAAAGTTAAAGGTTTCAAGGTTAAACTGTTATTTCTTGTAATTTCTCCTCAATATATAACTTTCCGAAACAATAGTAGCATTACAAAAAATGATGATTTAATAATTTATCTATATTGATTTTATTTGAATGAAGGACATGGGTCAAAATATAATCATATTTCAACACAAAGTACTATCTCATGTTACTTGCAATAACGACTCCCTGTTATACTTTTCATACTACACTTCCCTGTATAAAGTCTTCACTCGAGAATTTTCTACCCTAAGTCATCGATTGTTTGATCGGTCGGTCCTTTGCCACTTCTGTATTTTCTATATTCAATATATAATTATAATTTTTAATCAATCATGTGTTTATTTAATATTATTTTTACTTGATCGGTTTATATTACATATTTACATTAATTAAATAAACAGATGATTGACAAACTAATAAATGATGGACAAAGAATATTTCTAGAATAGAGATATAATCAAATCTGTTTTCTCTTATTTTTAATTTTTTTTTTTAACTATAATAAGATATCGTAATAATTTTTAACTTTATAAAATGTATATTATATATTTTAGGTTATGGGAATTTGGCCCCAACAACCCATCTGTCTAGAATCCTCATGATATTCTACGCCTTGTTCGGTATCCCTATCAATGGTATCCTGCTTGCTAACCTCGGCGAATACTTTGGATTGCAGGTAATTTGCAATTTTGATTCAAGATATATTTATTACATAAATGAAATAATTACTTATATAATTCTGATCTATTTTTATGTATTTATATAACTAAATTTGTTTGTACATATACAAAGACACACAAGACTTTAATATAAAATTCCCTTTTAGTAAACTAAATCCTTTTCTTGCGTCTACATCAATTATCTATTACCGTCATCATCAGTATGTCGGGTCATAACAAAATGTGGTATTGATTGTTAGAAAATCACTTCTAGTTTTATATAATCAACCATGAAGCAATTGTGTTTCCATGGCAGTGTTTCGGTTTGAAGGGAGCAATATGGCAGTGAATTTACAGGGTATAGAAGCATAACACTTTAGTCATCAGGAATGGCAACGCGTGTAGAGTATCATGGGCGAAACAGTGTACTCTATTATGTCCGTGTTACTGCTCATATCTATAGTTGATGGTTACCATTTTTCATCAGGTGAGATGACAACTTGTTTGCCATTCTAAGTTGCATAAAAAAAAATAACAAATGTAGATTACCAATAACGTGTTATAATTTAAAAGTATAGTAATATACTGAAAGAACTTCAAATTTACAGCTAATTTCTGTTTATCGGAAATACAAACGGCGCAATGTGAAACGTGCGGACAACCTGAGCTATTGCTTCAATAACCTGGGAATGCTGGGTCAGATCTTTTTGTACCTCGTGCCTGGATTTCTGTTCTTCATCTTCTTGCCAGCCTGTTTGTTTGTGGTCTTCGAGGATGGATGGGATTTTGTAGCTGCTGTGTATTATGCATTTGTCACTCTGACTACAATTGGATTTGGTGATTTGGTTGCAGGTACTATAATTGTATTATTCTTGATTTGTCTTAATGAAGACCAGAATTAGTTGATTATTCTTGTATGAGAATTATCTATGGTCAGATGACCCCTTCCTTTCCCGTGAGTGTTGTAAGAGATGACTAAAATCAAAAGATGGACAGCAGCGTCCCTCTTAAAACATCACCAAAAGCCTAATTGCGGTTGCCAACACGCATGCCAAGCATGGCAATTAATAGTAAATTCCCTCTATATAGTGGAGGCCTATATTCAGCAGTAGACAATTAACGGCTGATATGATGATGATGATTATTATATTTTAGATTATAGAAACATCATTAATATTGTTAAATTAAAATTCAAAACCCTTTGGTAATACAGATAAAAACATATTACACCGACCGCAAGATTTATATAATTGCGATAAGAGTAAGATGATGATGATCATTCTTATCATTAAGTGTCTCGTCAGGAAAAAGTACTATTAGATGAATATCGATGTTTATATTGCTATTAAAAAGTAATATAAATACCTAGATAGAAGAAATAATATGAAACTAAGTCAATAACTTCATCGGTATAATGGGTACCTATGTGCAAAATGATAAATTTCTAAATCCAATATGAACTCAACATAAATAAATAGAATCTTAATTATTATACAAAATGTAATTTAATTTGTATAGAATTATATATATATATATATATATATATATATATATATATATATATATATATATATATATATATATATATATATATATAAAAAAAAAAAAATTCACTTTGTTTATTCTTATTCCAGGAACAGCAAATAATGGATTTCAGTATGGCCAATTCATCGCTTATGAGATATTCCTTATAATCTGGATTACTTTTGGCCTTGGATATATTGTGATGTTGCTTGGCTTTATCACTAGTGGTATGAGATCCGAACGAGTACATAGACTGGAGCAGAAATTTGCTATGCAGTTTAAATCAACGCAAAATAAAATCCTGCAAGGATTTACAAGAGATATTGCTGTCATTAGGAAGATTATTAATGAAGCTAATTTAATAAAGTTAAAGGTAAATTCTTGACCTTTATTATATGTATAATTAAATTGACTCATTAATGTTTTTATATCTAAATCGATATCCAATATTAAATATCTATACATCTCGACAAACTTTTGAATTAGTAATATTAGTAGAATATAAATGTAATCTTAAAATTAAAATAATAAACACCGCCTACTACTATTTGCAAATTAGCAACACTAAAAATATTTAAATATTTTTATTCCTATTTCAGCCTGTCTATGTAGATGAAACACCACGTTTTTATAGAAGTAAGAGCTGTCCCAATTTTACATTTGATGTAGAACCACGATTCCCTGTTACCAAAAGAAAACGCGCTAACTCCGAGAATATACAACTTACAGCTAAAGACATGCTTCGAATTCAATCTGATACAGATTTACTTGGTATCGACAAGGATAAAACATTTACTGCCTCAGCTATTGTCAAGCCTGCAGAACTACTAGCCAGAGTAGTGAATGTATTAGGAGGTTTTGAACAACCGCACCGAAATACAGGTGTACACATGTTTGATGACGAACACATTTTGGCGAGTGAAAAGCCACCAGTTTTTTCCATTGGTCAAAATATAATACCAAACTCACCTAAAAGAATAAGGGCATTGAGTATTGCGGTGCCTAATCATAGAAAAGAATCAGTATCGAAATTTGATCATGATCATACATGGACTAATGGTGATTCAGCAGAAAAATTCAGAAAAGAAGCAAATGCAAGAAGTGGTAAATTATCATTACCATCCACTATTACACCGCCAGCTGTTGAAGATTCACAACCTAGAAATTTCCTTCAACGGATTTTCCGAAAATCGAACTCAACTGAAAGTCCAGCAGAATATGTGAAAAATACGATGATAGGTCGACTAAGTAACACTCATAAAGTAAATGTGAGTGGCAAAGAAACACCTAGACGTGGTAGTATTTTTTCAAATTTCTTTTTTGGTGGACAAGACAATAAAGGAAACAACGAACTTGACGCTTATAAAGAAAAAACAAAAAGAGGACGTCATAGTATATTTCCAACATTCGACTTTCATCGTGAGGAGGATGATAACGCTGCAAAGGCGTATAAAGAGAAAACCAAAAAAGGTCGTCATAGTATTTTTCCAACATTTGATTTCTCTGAAAATGACGATGCAGAAACTGCTAGAGCATATCAACAAAAGCCTAAACGTCATAGCATATTCCCTACGTTTGATTTTAGTGAAGATGATGATGACTATCTTGCACAAAAGTATAAAGAAAATACAAGGTCTGGTAGACATAGCATTTTTCCAACGTTTGATTTTAGTGATACGGAGGACAAAGCAGCACGTGATTATAAAGAAAAAACAAAACGCGGTAGACATAGCATTTTTCCTACTTTTGATTTTAGCGATCTTACAAGTAATGACGAAGAAGATACAATAGATGAAGATGAAGTAAGAAAATATCAAAATAGAACAAAAAAAGGTCGGCTTAGTCTATTTCCAACATTTGGAAGGTCTAAAAAAGACGACGACGACACAATGCCAGAAAGTTCAGACGAACTTGTAGATTACAAGAATAAAACACGTCATGGGCGTGTAAGTTTATTTCCTACATTTGGCAAAGACCGTAAGACAAGTACTCCAGAAGAAAACTCTAACGATCTTGAAGCTAGTATAAAGCAATACCAAAAGCAAACAAAACGCGGCCGAAATAGTTTATTTGCTGGAGATATAGAACATTACCGCAACTCAACACAAGGAGGTCGTCATAGTTTATTCTCTAGTGAGTTAGAAAATTATAGAAATAAAACCAAACGGGGTCGTCCCAGTCTATTTGATCCTAACGTAAATATATCAAATCTTCCAGAATCTGAACAAGTTGAGGTATTAGAAAATACTAGTGTAGCTGATTTGCTTCGCGCATTAGCTACTATAGAAACAGTACGCGGAGATTCTGACACAACTAGCCCAGCTGGATTATTGGACTTGATAAATGAACCCGTTGCAACACCTGCTAGAAGACGTGGTTCACTTAGGCCTGATTTTGCTTTACCTACAGTTTCTACTAAAGAAGAAACTGAGGAAGCTACAGGACCACGACGCAGAAGAATATCTGCTAGAGCTGCAGCACCTCATTTCACACCAACATTAGCAACAGTTGTTGCTGGCACTGAATTACAAATAACAGCAGCCGCTGCACGAGAGAACCGTATGTCCATGTTAACGCACCCGCCTCCTCCTTATTCGGAAACTGAGACATCTACTGAAGAAGGCGTACAAAAACCTAGGGTTAGAAGATACTCTCCAGCACCTTCAGATCCAGGCAGATCTGTGGCCCCTGTACAGAGACTATTTACACGTATGCGTAATCAAACAAGTGCAGAAGAAGGAGATTCTACAAATTCTAGCTTAACTGATGTAATAGTAGACAATAACTTAAAAGACAATACGTAACCCAGTGCCTTTTTAGTACAATTTAGGTGTAAGTATTTAAATGCTTAGCTTATATTTTATCTAATAGTATTATAGTATATATAAAATATATACCGTCCACAAAAATATGTCTTTTATTTTCAACGAGATTAATTTACGCTTCGTGAAAAAAAATAAAACATGATTACTATTTTCCTATCTGATGGATTTAAATCATATTTTCTATTTCCATTAATATAAGAACAGTTAGTTTAATATAATTCACGTGTATAGGTATTCCGCCTTATTTATCAATATTAATCATTCATAACAGTCGTTAACTGTCCACTGCTGAACCATTACTTCCCCCATTAGGAGGATTAATTGCCACGCTTGGCAGACGGTTTGGATTAGGCTTTAGATTTTAGATTTAGACCACAATTAGAGCTTTGGTAATATTTTAAACTACCGCCCATCCCTCGACCATTATATTCCCTTAGTTGCCTCTTACAACACCCACGGAACAGGAAGGAGTAGTCCAATATACGCCAGGACCATACGACAAATATTATATAAATATTTTTACAATGTATCAGATCACTGCATCATTGTTTTGGTTCGAATTCTAATAATGCCATTAGCAAACATACACGTTTAACCACTGATTGACATCTGAGTTCTCATCTTAAATATTTATACGGCTTTATTCAAGTATTTTTCTCTGAAGTTTCTTAAAAATACTGTGTATCTAGCGACACAGATGATCTCACTCATAAATAAGAACTCCTATCGAATTCGAATCTGGTCCAACAGAATTGAAGATAAATTAAAATTAAACCTACGATTATTCTACATCGAAAGTTTACGAAAATGTATAGATGGGTGTTTATTACTCTTAAAAAATATCGAATAGATTTGAATGAAATTTAGTACACAAGTAGATTATATCATAATACATAAGTATGGTATATATTATACTAATTCACCCATGCACAGTCGCAGGATACAGCTAGCTCTATATAAGTGACGATAATTATTATTCATTGTGATTGTTTGGTCAGTCTTTTAACACAATAATGCGAGAATAGTACCAATTAGAGCCCATAATCCAATCATCCATGTCTTCTTTCTTATTTGGATCACTAGCTTATTTACCAAATTCCATAATACAAAAATGTCCATATTTTATAATAATAACCCTATTCTATTAATATAATGAATGCGAAAGTTTGTAACGTTGGATGGATGGATAAATGGATGTTTAATACTCTTTTACGCTAAAATTACTGAACTGATTTGAATGAAATCTGGTTGTACACGGATAGGGTATATCTTAATATAGGAAACTTTATGCACTGATTCATACTGACGCAGCCACAGACTATCGTTAGTATAAAATCTATTATCACGTAACATTAGACAGATAATAGGGTAGATTAAAAACCAAGTTAGCTGTTATTAATATTATATTTTTAATTAATACCACCAGATATTTATTATAATAACAATTATTTAACTAGGTATTCATTACACTAATATAGTGTACTTGTAACCAAATTAAGCAAGTCGAACTTCATTAGTTTGTGGAAAGCCTACGATTTTCTATGATTAACGAAGTTCTATCAAAGTTAATACTCTACACATTTTGATCTATCAAATTCCTTTTAACTTTTTCTAACTATATCTTATTTACAATTTTTACTTTGATTATTTTGCTACAAAACCATTGTATAAAACTAATAAAGTGCTGGTGGTGCAATTCTATATAACATTATGAGTATTATATAACAACTTAATAATACAAAATGGTATCTTCTATAAGCTTATTTACAAATAACAATCAATTTAAATATTAAACATCGTATTGAACTTAACGTAGAAATTCTATGTCGTGTCAAACAATACGAAGCAGTTTTGGCACTGCTGAGGGGAATACCACGATGTGTTTGTCATAAATGTCAATTACTCACAAAGAGATTTTCAGTCTATAAAGATCAAGTAGCTAACGTATCCTGTCTCATGTCTTTATCCAAACTCAAATTTGCATAGCACTGGTCAATATTCCCATTGCCATCTTTAATCAAAGATTCAAATATAGATATCAGGTTGTTCAACCCTATAAGATACCCATCTTCGTGGTTGCCAACTTTCCAAGTGGTGTTATGATCAATATTGATATCTTCGGGCACAGAAACAGTCTTAGCAAAGTCTATCATCCAGATGGAAGCTCGTCTTTTGTCGTGAACGAAGAGTAGGGAACTGCCGATCAGTTCGTGTGTCTTGAAGAAGTGCGATTCTTGCAGCGTCGCGCGTATATTCAACAATCTTTCTAAGTATCTCGTCTGTAACAAAAATATATTTTCTATTAGTATTTTATTTTTATAAGCCTATATAATTGGCATTCAAGCATAAATCGAATTCTTTTTATTTAGAATTCCTAGAATTGTAATATGTTTTAAACGTTTTGCTTTGTCTGATGCTGGAATACTGTTTTCTTTTAATATTGTTTATTTGTAACACTTTATTCTACAGTAAAGTCTTAAATTATAGGACACAGAGTTCTTAAGAAAAGAACGAGTACAATGGTGGAAAAAAAATATAGGACAAATATCCTATAAAAAATTTTGTTTGTTTTTGTTTTTCTATTCACTTTTTATTCGTTGGATTTTGATGATTCTAATATTCAATTACATATGCATCAGGCAGTGTATTGATACTATTATGAAGTTTGGTATATACATACAAAATTATATATACTATATAAGATAGAGAAGGATATGGGCTACTTTTTATCCTGGTCAGTGAACATATCCTAATCATGCGGATGAAGTCGTGAGTAAAAGCTAGTATTTACATATAAGATGTTTTTCAAATGATTATCATTTTTAATTACAGCATTAAACAATATCCTCACAAAAGGATGTTTGTGCAGTTAATTGCCAATTTAATGAATGAGAAAATTCATACAATAGAATTATATGAAATCGTAATAACTGATTGTGATGAATAATTGGGTGATGACAATAACCATAGACATGCCTACAATGCCATTACCCATATTTTCTTGTTATTTTTAGACACATTAATTGTAAGATAAATACTAATAATAATCTTGTTCTGTTCATAGTGATCCATTAAAAGGTATGTTTTAATGACAATTTTGATTGAGAGACTTGAAGCGTGAGAGAGGAGGAAGATTAAAGAAAAAAATGTTTGATTATATTAAAATTGCTATTTGTTACTAAAGTTAAAGCATCGCTCAAAAAAAAATATGTAGAAGTATCATAAATACTTCTTAGATACTAGACTTAGACTCAATAAAATTTGGACTAAAAGCAAGTCTGCTTTGGTTTCTTAGCGAATCTCGATACATTATTCAACATGCAAAATTTTGGGTAACTGAAACTCTTTTAATTTTAAATTATAATTTTGAAATTAAATATGTTAATTTTAGATGTATGTTAAGTATCAATTGATTACCGAATTTAAAAGTAACAAAACTTCTTAAATATAATGTCGACTTACCGCAGCATTGGAACAGTTACTAGTGAACTCTTTAAATGCATCTGTAATCTGGTCTCTAGTTTTGGTGGTCTTGAAGTCTTTTGAACTAGTCCCATCAGCCTTCTTCACTCCATCTATTCTGAACCCTAATGTAGCTGTTGAACTGATTGTCTCCCGCCAAATCATGTAACGAGGTTTAGTGACGCCTTTGCTTCTATGTTCCTCATCTGATGGCGCTTTTGGATCAATCTGGATCATTTTTTCGTACATATCCTGAAAATAATTACAAGCTTATTTATAATATTTTTTATATTACTATAGTGACAAAGAAGTATATGGCCCGTTTAGTGCTAAATGAATTTACTATAACCTATTTTAATTATAAAATAATTATAATTAAAAGACTATAATATCAAACTATATTTGTATTTTTTTTTCTAAATCAACGGTATATTTCGAAATAGACTATCAATATAACAAGTGGTTAATTATCTTTAATTAAAAATTTTACCGCAGTATAAACTTCAATCGTGAAAAACTAATATGGGAAGGAAACGACAAGAATAACAACACGAAGAATTATATTAATAGTACTAATGAGATCGTTTATGCACATAATATTTCCAACAAATAAAGTTTTTTAAGGTTTTGAACCTTATTACATAAGTTTTAATATATGATTTTGTATTGGTAAAATATCTGTATCAGATTCAGTTTTTATTCCGTGTAATTTAAAATTATATGCCAAGTTATTGTAATGAACAAAGAAATGATGAGTAACTTACTTTTCTTAATTTAGTCTTCTCTTTCGCTTTTGCAAGTTCTTCTTCTAAATATGTTCGGACGCCGATTTTGCAGTCCATAACACAAGGACAATCGAAGTCGCTGAGGAGGTCTTGCAATTGTAAATATACTGTTTATAAATTGGTTAAGGAATGGCATACTTGTATTTAATACATACATACATATGTAGTTTAATGTAGATTAAATGTGTACGTAGCCTGTTCTTGATTAAACCAATTTCTAAGATCTTTTCTAAACCGGCTTCCAAGTATATGCTTTCTATTATGTAGCACTAGCTATACTATGTTCTTTATTGAATGAATTTAAAAAAACTATTTCATATGTAAATAATGTGAATTGTATTGATCAATTTCTTCAATAATATCAATCTTAGGAATTTAACATTCAGAGATTGTTTTTTTAGATTATTCTGCTTTACGTTTATGTTAATTATTAATAGAGTCAAAATTGAATCATCATCATTATTATCTGCCTTAATTAAAAAACTCTTATGACCTGATCCACTGTAAATTTCCATTATTAAATTTACTTTTTCTATTTTTATTAATAAAAGGATACGTTCTCCATCTTCGCACTTGACCTGCCCTTTGTACTCAGGAACAAACGGACGAAGGATGTCTTTCATCAGCAACTGAAATTAAAAATATAACATTTTTAATTATCCTTTCATTCCAATTTCTAATATTTTAATTAAAGACTTAAAGTATGCAAACAAGTCTAGACTGATTTTAGGACAAAATAAGATGGAGACTTCAGCAGGTGACGCTGAATACTTTTAAGACATGATAATAATTATTTTAGAGTATTAATAGTTTATTAATACGATTTTGGTGGTATAAAATAAATGATCGAATTAATAGCTTTAGCGTCAATGAAGTTGAAAAGACGTATGATTTACGTCAATCGAACCAGTTAAGGAAAAGTTATGAATGTACGACATATCGCATTTGAAACTATTACTACCTTTGTATATATTACAAACAATAATAACATTAGTTATATTGTAGGCGTATATTATTTAAACAAGCCGAAATCTTGAAAACACTTGGACATTTTCTTTTCATCCGACTGAATAAATGTACTACATGATATGAGCACGTATGTAAATATTTGGATATTTGAGGCAAAACTTAAATATTTTATTGAACTTTGACATAAATTGAAATTATTATAAATTAAATTGCGACTTTAATAATAATAAGTTATGGTATTAAACACAGGAGAAGACAACCTGTAGGTTGCAAACATAAATATTGAAATCAGTTCAAGATTGTGGAAAATTTTCGAAAAACATACTGGGAATACTATAATTATTGTTTTTATTATTATTTCAGCCATTAACTGTGACTGCTGAACATAAGCCTTTCCTATAAGAGGAATTTTGTGAGTAGTAGCCACGCTTGACAGGTGAGTTGGCAACCGCAGTTAGGCTTTTAGAGATGTTTTAAGAGAGACGCTGCTGCCCATCCCTCGCCCACCCTTAGTCGCCTCTTACGACACCCACGAGAAAGGAAGGTATGGCCTCTTCCATACCAGGACACACACGGCGATACTATATTGCTAGAAAATAAATCTCTTCATAAAACCCGAACCACCTGGCCATCCTAGCAATTTCCTATTTTTATATGAAAAACCATCAGAATATGACCTTATGGGTTCTTATGGTAAATATTTATGAATCGAAACTATACTTAGACATAGCAGCTATTGTCACCGCATCTTACATAACACCCGTCATCTTTTACGCAGTGAAGCCTATTCATGGTAATATCTTTTATTTATGAAAAACCATTTGGCCATGGAATAATGGAAAAACTATTTTTATGTGACATCCAAAAGAAGGATATTCTCAATACGTCAATATTTTTTTTAAGTAAATATTATACAATTACGTTGTTAGTTTTAAACGGATTTTGGATTTGCATTTTTTTTATTTTTAATAATTCCTTTTGCAATGGATAGAGTATTATCATATTTACTTTTATATTAAGTGACGATAGAGGCTACCTTTTTTTCAAAGCAAATTCTAAATTTAAAAATTTTCTCCACGTGGTAAAATTTTTTAAATTTAGATTTAATTCAATTCACTGGTATTCCATACTACCTATTAAATACTTGAAATGTAAATAAAATACCAGCTAGGTATGCGGAAAATATGTATTGAAAATAATTCTGAAAAGGAATATACACTCGTCATTCTTAGTAATTAATTTTATATAAATATTCCTGTGTCGATGTAAATTCTAGACTAAATAGATATTTATAGGACAATAGCTGCCACGCCCCGACTTCGTTCGAGTATATAAGTTGAAAGTACTAATATTCTATGGCACTTTTTTTTAATACAAAATAGAATGTCAAACAAGCTGACGACCAACCAGATGGAAAATTGTAACCGTCGCCTATAGACATGAGCAGTACCATGGACATAACAGAGTATACTATTTCGCCCATGATACCCCCCATGCGTTGCCATTCCTGAGGATTCAGGTGTTATTCCTCTGTACCCTGTAAATTCACGCCATATCCCACCCTTCAAACCGGAACACAGCCATGCAAACACAACTGCTTCACGGTAGAAACACGAATGGGACAGAGGTACCCAAGCAATCGAATATCTTGTATATTAATTAGGATATGGCCCATTTAATTGCTAATTTTCATTCGAATCAAGTTAGCCATTACAACGTGATTTAGTAAAAAATATCTAAAACATCAATACCCTACATTAGTGTCCATATTCATCCATCTATCAATATGGTTTTTTTTATGAATTCAATTTATTATGAGATTAAACTAGGGGTGAGTAATATAAAGCAATATCTATATATCATAATTACAATATCTGTATATTGGTACAATAAAAAATATGTTAAATATCGATTACCCAATTATATATTGAATAACTGATATTTATATATCAGTATCCATAATTATACATGGGCTCGAAGACTTAATAGAAATTAATATAGATGGAGCGGTACCGACATTACCCACCCTAGATTAAAAACCGCCAGAAGGAAATGAACAAATCCACTTTTACGTAATGTTAACAAGGATGTTAAACTTGTATATACACGTATGCTCCTGAGGAAGCGTATAGTTATGTCTTATAATCTTCAAACCAACACTATTAATATTATCGCAGTTCACAGGGCATTTTAAACGATGCAACGTTCCAAAGAGTATGAAAGTGTACACTTTGGAACGACTTGCAGTAAGGGAGTAAACAGAATTATTATTTCTTTGGATTGGAAATGAAACTTTTTAAAATTGCATATTATTAGTAATGAAGGTTCGAGGGCGCATTGCTAGTCACTTACTGAACTCGCCAGAGTATAAAAATAACGAAAGCGGAGTTACTATTTTATCTTTACTCATTAAAAACCTAATGTGACCAACTATTATCAGATAAATTGTAAGTAATTTGCAATACACGAATTATGAAAGTGAATATAAGTAGATAAAGAGATGTATGTCCGAATGAAAGCACAGATAGAGTCCTCTGTGCCTACTCTATTTTTTTTTCTTTAATGGATGACAATGAAATAGTAACCCAGCCTATCATTACGAATTTATCAATAATTAACCATGATGGTTTCCAGGGGGAACCGCGTGGAGATCGACCTGATAGGGTATATTGCTAGCAATGGAGCAATCAAACTCCATTACTTACAATCCTTTTCCCCCTGCCTAGTCTGTTGGGGCACACGCTTAAAGATTAGCAGTTATTCTTGAAATAAACTCCAATAGATTAATACCAGAAGTGAAAAGTTTAGCACTCCTGAATTGTAAATACTATCTTCATAATGGTTCCATATGTTTCTGATAGATGCATAGTAGTGCAACTTTCTAATGCATTGATCCCAATTCCCATATAATTTCTATTTTTTTTTTCACGACTGTTGTTTCATTATGGCAGTACAAAATAATCATTGGAAATAGACTGGATTGACATTGATATCAGATTCAAAGACCTGCAGATCAACTTACTTTGAAACATGTTTCTTCTTGTGGACACAGCTTCTTCAGTATGGTGCCTTGGTCGGGGCCAGCTTTGAAGTTCCCTTGATGACCAGCCAACTGAATCCACGGGTACCTCTGCTTCTTGTACGTTTGGAAGAAGGGAGTCCACTGCACAATATTTCGGAGTTTGCGCCATCTTTCCGATTGCTAGAATGTGCAAAAAAAGTTATGTTAAAAATATATACTAGCTGCATCTTGCGGCTTCGCCTGCAGTCGTATCATGATGTTGAATAGCCTTACTGGTTATTTAATTAGAATTAATTTGTTTAATTCTGCTACCATTAATTTTAAATAATTATATTAAATTGCCTCAAGAAAGGAGCTAGAACATACAAAAAGAATTTATTAAATCCGACAGGTTGGACCAAAGGTTAACACATTCAAACAGACGAACGAACTTAAACTAATTAAAAATTTAATATTACTTTTTATTTCAGAGGCGAGAGAAAAAGGTTTCCTTCCTTCTTACTCTTGCATTTGTGTGCCTATGGTTATATTTCCTTAAGATATGTGCTTGTGAACAAAAATAATGGTGAATTATCATTTTGTGAATGTTAATGATACTATGGTATTCTTTCTTATCTCCACTGGACATGTGGAAAGTAAGCGAAGTATATCTAGTCTTTCCCTCGACCGAAAAATGAATCTTAACATAAAATTAATATAACTTAAATTCGGTTTATTATTAGTAGAGTTAACAAAAATCATGGAAATAAACTATTTAATATAATTTATAAATTTAATTTAATATAATTATAAATCATAAAAAAAAAACAACTGGCAAAACCCCCTTATGGAAAAGGCCTATGTTCAGCAATAGACAATAATGGCTGATACAACAATAAAGTAATAATATTTAATTTCATTAAATTAATATAAATACATGAAAGTAACTGTTAGTGTTGCACGCGTCATTTCAATAAAGAAAAAATTATCTCATGACTGATATTTATGTCAATTTTAATAAAAGTTTAATAAATGTTAATATACTAAATATTACTGTTACATTCACATGATGTAGATATGGATAGACTATTGTTATTATAAAAAATATATACGAGTTCTTTCATGTGATTACGATGTATCAGGAACTGAGAATCGAACTGGGAATTTGTATTGTACGAAACTCGCATAACCACTGCGTTATAGAGGTAGTCAGGTAATATATTAATAAATAGGTAAATTATTTGTTATGTAAATATTATTAAAATACGAAAAACATATTCCAAGTGATTGAATAATTTCGAAGCAGACTTGAATTTGCACCTTCTCTTAAATAAAATAAATATATTGTATTTATAAAAAAAAACAAATATAGAAAGTAAACAATTTATTACGTTCAAAAATTAAAAAAAAATTATATATATAAAAATCTCTCCATTCCTTTCTTTTGGCTTACATTAGGTATCTACATAAGTTAAATAATAAATCTATATAAGTTAAAAACCATAAACAACATTTTTAAATATTATATTTAAAATTTAAAAAATGTATATTAAAAATACCTTTTTGCTATAACGAATATATGCCCAGAAAACAACATCCATAAAATCTTCAATGCAATAATAAATACTTTTTGAATGCATCTTAATATCACTTTTAAATGTCTGTCACTAAATTAAATAACTTTAATAACACACAGGAAACACTACAAAAATATTCCCAAATATTCGAAAAAAGAATAGAAAATTCAAAAATCGAACAAAATAGTCCGCACACGAGTAATGTCATATGTAACTGAGGATTACAGACACATTGTGGCCAATATAAACCAAGCTATACGTTTAGTGAGTCACGACGTACCCAGTAAAGACCACAGAACAGAGCAATGACGTCAAAGAAAGAACACGTTGCTAGTGTAAAACTATCCTATTGGATAAATTCCGGTTTTGGAGAAGGTGTATACTATAGTGTTGGCTAATAATCATTGGACATCGATAATTTTATTGAGGCCACAAATAATATAGTAACTCATTATATAATTAATTATTACTACTACTAGCCCATATGTCAATGCACAGCCGAAACCGCTGAATCTAGAGTCTTAAAATTTTGCAGACAATTTTCTTATACAGCTTATAATATGAAAAGCATTTTGAAAATTCAGCTCCTAGGGGAGTAAAACGGGGGTTAAAAATTTATATGTAATTTCGTCAATTTAGAAGTTAGACACGTGAAAGTTTCAGGATCTTAGTTCAAAATCAGAATTACTATTTTACTTTTGAATTCACTCGTAAAGGAATAATAGTAGTAGTGTGAAAGCAAGCAAGGCCACGGACAAAAATTAATCGATTATTACTGGAACAATAATATCTATTTATCTATACCTATAAAAACTACTAAGTCTAGAGAGCTAAAATTTGTAAATTGTTCGTACATGCAGGAATTGAACGTGCAATGCCGTGGCAATAATATATTATAGTATTATATATATTATATAAATTAATCGGTTTAAATTTAAATTACCTATCAATATAATCGATTCTATTCATATTATTATAATCGGTATTATTATTATACCGATTAAATTGCATATATCATTTAATAAATATTTAGATTTAGATTAATCTGTGTGAACTTAATCGATTAATTGATAATCGATTATATAGGCAACACTAGTATGCAGCACATACTATCATAATTACAATGTGCACGAGTAGTACAGTCAGCACAATAATTGTTTAATATGACGACATCTATAGAGTGGATGTTACTCGACACATCGATTTTGTCCTACTGCGTAATATAGTTTCTTGTAATAAGTACTCGTAATATTGACAACCTACGTGACGCAATGACAGACACATTGCTTTGCGTAAATTAGATACAAACAAGTTCAATTCTCTGTCCAACCATCGGAAATTATCTTTTTGAAGTATTTCGGGTTTTTTTGCGCCTTACCTTATTATGATATGTTGGTTGTAGGGTATTTTAATAAAATAGATTAGATTTAGCTCATGAAAAATAAAATAACCAGTCGGTTGTTTTGTTTGAAGATCAACTTGTTTTTATTCTCAACTATCATCCCTCACTGGTGCCCCGTCAGCGTAAACCGATAGCGCAGGGTTACCATTCTATTTTCACCAAGTAAAAAGAATCCCTTCAGTAGTCAGTTAGTAACACACCAACAGACATTTGCTTTACCCAATATTTTAGTATAGATATTATTGACGTAATTTTTTATAGTTCTAACAAATCTAAAAACGATTACTAATTAGGATTCTTTGGTAGATTTTTTTTTATACAACTTAGAATGATAAACAAGCTGACGGCCCACCTTATGGAAAGTTGTAACCGTCGCCTATAGACATGAGCAGTACCATGGACATAACAGAGTATACTGTTTCGCCCATAATACCCCCCATGCGTTGCCATTCCTGAAGACTCAGATGCTATTCCTCTGTACCCAGTAAATTCATGCCATATCCCACCTTTCAAACTGAAACACAGCCATGCAAACACAACTGCTTCAGGTTAGAAACACGAATGGGCTTTTGTACAAAGTCTCCCTCTAGTAAAGATACCAACCTCTGACGACAATTTCCATAAACTTGATGGCCCATAGTGACTAATTCACAAGACAATAGATGCCATAACATACGTAATTTTGAAACATATTCTGATGAAATGCATTACGTGTGTATGTAGTAGGAAAGCTGTGTGTAACCGACTGAAAACAATTTCCATTAATATTCTCTTACCTAAATGACTAATACACAAAACAATGGATTTCACAAAAATATTTAAATATTAATGCATGATAATCGTAAACTGAATAGGATTACTTCTGTTCCAACCAACCGTTTACTTATGATTCACACACGATACCCAGAAAAATCGGCCAGCATTTTTTACCCTTTTTTTTAAAGGCTTTTTTCTTACAAGGATATATATATAGATATGTCAGCCTTATCATACCCTAATCTTAATACGTTATTTCACATACTAAATTAGAGGGAATCATCGATGAAAAAAAGGCAGCAGAGTCCCTCTTAAAACATCTTTAAAACCTAACTGCGGTTGCCAAACGTGGCAAGTACTGGCAAAACCCCCCCAAGAGGGGGATTACGTTCAGCAGTGAACAATTAAAGGCTGATGTGATGATAATGATGATTGAAACAAAAATATAGCAATTAAAGATTTTGCCTTGGCAGGCGAATTGGTAACCGCAGTCAGGCTTTAGAAATGTTTTAAGAAGGACGCTGCTGTCCATCCCTCGCCCTCTCTTAGTTGGCCTTTACGACACCCACGGGATAGGAAGAGGTGGCCTATTCTATGTCGAGACCTGCACAGTCTGCATAGCATACCAGCTAATAATAGCAGCCTAATAAGGTAAGGCTCCCCTTGAACGTGGACAAAACGAATACAAAATATAAAAGAATAAAATAAAATTTTTGAATATTAAATTACGCAGTTTTTAAGGAAAACAGCAGTGTGCAGTCGTAGTCTCCTTACTTTAGAATCATCAAGTCATTCATATATGTAGGTATATGTATGATTAAAACAATCAGTTTAATGTCGTGGGAGCAGTAGATGAGGCACAATTGGTGAATAACGACTTTTTTATAGGGTTGTCAGTTAATGAAAAAACTTTTAAAATGCTAACCTGGTTAAAAATTACAATATCGCGATATCCTGTTAAGTTTTATTAATTTTGTTGGGTTTTAAAAAAGGAAATGTTCCCAGTTTGACTATTTCTTACAGGATATTTTAGAAATATCACAAGAATTTATATTTTAGACTGATAGCAAATTTCTAAACTGATTGTTGGGTTTGTAAAATAATAATGATGTTATTATCTTTTTACAAATTAAATTAATTATAAATTAATAATATAAAATGTACCAAAAAGCAAGACCAAAAAGTGTAGTGATAAAAATTTACCAATTGTCAACAAAAATATTATTTTAATTTAATTACAATTTAAAAGTTATATATATTATTAAATAAAACTTAGATTATGAAATTAACGTTATATTACATCAATGAACTAAAATCACATGTCAAATCGAACCGCTTTGTTTATTTTTAGAATAAAATATTAAATTCAAACAAATTACAACCCTATTTGCAAGCATCATAACAACATCACGTGATATTTTATGAAGTGTAATGATGTTTCTGTATCAACTGTTTTATATTTATAT